CAACGTCGTGCCTACTCGTGTCCGCTTTCAAATTCATATGCCTGTATTCATAAGCAAGAAACATTAAAGAAACCATACGATATGACGGCGGAAACCAAAAAACCAAAAATCCAAAGCCTTTCTGAGGGGCCCGAAACTTTTGGATTTTTTGGTTTTCCTAGGTCTTTTTTGGTTTTTTGGGCTTTGCCTTGGCGAAACCATGGCTTTTTTTGGATTTTCGGTGGAAAACCAAAAAACACAAGGTTTTTTTGGTTTTTCTGCTGTGTCTCTCGTGAAAAACCAAAAAACACATGTGTTTTTTTGGATTTCTGCTGGAAAACCAAAAAAACCTTGGATTTTTTTGGTTTTCTGTTGGAAAACCAAAAAAACCATAGGAAAACCAAAAAATCCAAAAGTTTCGACCCCCCTGACAAAGGTTTGGGATTTTTGGTTTTTTGGATTTTTGGTTCTCGGAGCCTTAGAGCCAATACAGCGCGCAGCATGCTTGATCGGAAATGGTTTCGTTGTTTACGCGCAGTAGTCTTCAGATTTGCATTAGGCATTAGTGTTAGTATTAGTATCTGCGTTCTAGCGTGTTGATTAGTGTTAACGGCGGAAACCAAAAAACCAAAAATCCAAAGCCTTTCTGAGGGGTCCGAAACTTTTGGATTTTTTGGTTTTCCTAGGTCTTTTTTTGTTTTTTGGGCTTTGCCTTGGCGAAACCATGGCTTTTTTTGGATTTTCGGTGGAAAACCAAAAAAACACAAGGTTTTTTTGGTTTTTCTGCTGTGTCTCTCGTGAAAAACCAAAAAACACCTATGTTTTTTTTGGATTTCTGCTGGAAAACCAAAAAAACCTTGGATTTTTTTGGTTTTCTGTTGGAAAACCAAAAAAACCCTAGGAAAACCAAAAAATCCAAAAGTTTCGACCCCCCTGACAAAGGCTTTGGATTTTTGTTTTTTTGGATTTTTGGTTCTCGGAGCCTTAGAGCCAATACAGCGCGCAGCATGCTTGATCGGAAATGGTTTCGTTGTTTACGCGCAGTAGTCTTCAGATTTGCATTAGGCATTAGTGTTAGTATTAGTATCTGCGTTCTAGCGTGTTGATTAGTGTTACTGTTAGTGTTGGCGTCAGTGTCAATGTCAATTCCAATGTCAGCGTTAGTACTAGTCTGAATATAAGTCTATACAATAGGTGTACTAATGGTAGTGTTAATGTCTAGTGTGAGTTTTAGTATTCGTATTAGTCTTGGTCTTAGTCTCTGCCTTATTCTTAGCGTTAATATTAACCAGTGTATAGTCTCATATCAGTATATTCTGTATTTGTAAGTCTATGGTAACATTGGAATAGTAGTATACGAGTATATTATTTATTGGTATGTGAAAATACAGATTCTTTGGTACATTGATGTGTCTGTTTTTTGTATTTGGTTTGAACGTGATTATTAGTATTCGTAGGAGCATTAATATTGGTATCAATAGCAGTATCGCTGTTCATACTATGCATAATCGTACTAGCTGGAGTATCAAGTGGTAATACTGCTATTCATGTTAGTGTAGGTTTTTTTAATGTGAATATAACTACTGAGAATAATTAATAAGACTATGCGCATTAATCTGCGGAGGAACTGTATCACTTATGTGCATATTAGTATTAATGTTAGCATTTGCGTGTATATTGGTAACAAATAAATACTAAAATTACTATCAATATGGGTATGTTTTTTAATATTCGTAGGAACACTAGTATTCATATTAGTATCGGTATTACTGAAAGTACCCGTCTTCGTAAAAGTATTTGTAATCATACTAATTCATATCAGTACGAGTATTAAGATGAATTATGATGCGCATATGAATACTTTCGAAGGAAATGCTGACCTTAATACGAATACCCATATTAATGTCCTATTATGTATAATCGCAGTAGCCTGAGTATTGGTATGAATATTCGGACAAGTATTAGTATTCCAAACAACTAGTACTATTAGTATTCATATTATTTTACAGCTAATAAGAATATGCGTATTAGTATCCCCAGGAGTGTTAATATTCCCATCAGCACTACTATTCGAATTAGTAGTGTAATTTTTAATACTAGTATTAACCATTAAGCCTATTATGTTATGAACAGTAATATCCTTATTCGTAGGAATAGAAATCTTAGTATCAGTATTAGTATTCGCACTAGTAATAGCTATTATACACATTGGCGCATGAGTAACCTAAGAGCTTCACACAGAATAAACATGTGTGCACATGTAACCCTCATTACGCTCCTAGGTAGGATGCACACATCGTTCTGTTTTGGTCCCGTCTTTGGGTTATGCTTATGAGTACATGAACAAAATTAAAAACAGACAATGACAAGCACAAAGTTACCCGGCGCATCTAACGATCTTACGTAGGATGCAGACACTGTTCTGTCTTGGTCCGGTCTTCGGGTTATGCCTATGGTCATTATATGACCAGAGTTATGAATATCCGGAACATTTAGGCAGTATCCTATTAAACAATTGCAGGCATTGAAGCTTGCCCAAATCCGCCAACGGCGATGTCGCGCCGTCGTAGGTCATTACAGTGTATTCAGCTATTGATTATACACGATATATGTGTCCATTGTTTATGTATGAGTGTATTTTATCCTAATGGTTTCCTCAAATCCTTACATGTTCTACTACCCATTGCTAGCCGAAGCACCTCGCGGTAGGTCTTCGGGGGGGGTGTGAGCTATATGGACATACCTACGTATGTATATGTATATGTATATATATATATATATATGTTATATGTTATATATATATATACACATACGTATATCCATATACTATATGCAAAGGGAGGCCTGTAGCATCTAAGGCCTGTTGCTAAATAGGAGGCTATGAGGGTCTTCAGTTGGGTGTTTCTAGAGCTCAGGTTATTAGATTTAGGGCCAGTTAGGGTTTAGGCTCAGGTTGTCTTAGGGTTTCAAAATCTCGATGCCAGGGCACTTGACGAGGTCGCCGATTCCATGAAGTTGCGTCTTCATCCGACAAGAACCAAAAAGCCCCAATAAGCCCTGATTGATCTAGACGTCTGGTTAGTATACAAATTTGTTTAAGGGCCCTTATTATGACGGCTGCGAGGGCAATCCTTGTCAAGGGAAGGGCGGGAAACTATCGAAGGTTTGAGTGACCTGGAATCAGACAAGGTGTGGAATGGACGAAGAAAGCCAGGGCATAGGTTGAGCCGCTGCAAGTACAAAGACTTCCGCCCCTACATTTCCCAGTAGCCTGCAGTGTGCTTTGCAGTCGGATTTTGCCAGATACGAAACCTTCAAAGCAAAACCACTCGGAGCTGCAGAAGCTGTATTCAGAAAACCAATAAGTAGAACAAGTTGCATACTTATATCGGGGAAAACTGACTGTATACCGGTTCCTTGCGAGATGATGTGACCATGCTTTAAAAAGCGACTTACTCTATGAATTACTGGTTCCATGCCAGGACAGTTGATCATGTTTACCCTTCAACTGCCCTGGTCGATCCGAAACGCTGCAATTGCCGTTGCAGGCTTTAAAATGTTTAGGGTTTAGGGATCTAGTGTTTCAGGAGTTCAGGGTTTTGGGGGAGTTTTGCACGTGGGATTCAAGGGTTTAGGGTTCGAAAGTTTGAGGCCGCGGCTGCTCTGGCCTGATGGTGTGTGGTGTTGAAACCCACTGCCTAAGAACCGAGAATACGATATAGCTCTCCTGATCTACTAATGACATGATGTTTGAAGGGGGTGGTAGCGGGACCTCATGAACATCTTGCCACGCTGCTTACTCGACACAGCCAAAGCACCGCAAAGCACTACTCAAGCAGCTGACATCATGCGCATTAACGTGAACTCAAAACACCTCGCCACTCCATGCCCATCGTCATAAGACCCCTGAAACTTGTTCTGAGGCCTTTAATCTAGTTAGGGTTGTAGGGGATAGGGCTTAGGGGCTTGGGAAGGCCCTGCGCCCTAAATTAAGCCACCAACCCTAAACCCTAAACCCTGAACCCTAAACCCTAAACCCTGAACCCTAAACCCTGAACCCGAAACCCTAAACCCTGAACCCTAAACCCTAAACCCTCTTTGAATACGGAACCCAGAGCCGAGCCAACTCCAAGCACTAGGCTCTCCACAAGAAGCCTGTGGCAGGGTAGGCCTACCTTAACCCTGAACAACCTACCTTTTTGGGGTTCCTTAGTATGATTTCCTTTTATAAGTCCTCAAAAGGTAGGTTCTTCAGGGTTAAGGTATGGCTTAGGATTTTGGGTTGCAGGATTTAGGGTCGCCACCTTGGTAGTAGAGGTATCGTATAGTGGGACTACATAGAGCTGAAGACACTTACCAGTCTCCCCTAAACCCTAAACCCTAACCCCCTAATACCCCTAAACCCCTAAACCCTAAACCCCTAAACCCCTAAACCCTAAACCTTCAAACCCTAAACCCTAACCCCTAAACCGTCTCCCCTGTCGCTCGAAGGGCCGATTCTTGAAGATTACTCTTACCCGAAGTTTGGAAGTACCTATCAGTTTCCACAATACTTCCGCAAACCCTGGACCCTGAAACCCTAAACCTATGAATCCAAGGCGCCCTGACTGACGGCGACCCCGGAGCCGAACTATGGGATACTTGCACCCTCAGAGTTTTACTGCGCCGGCCCTGAAGCGGAACCCTTTGAAGGATTGGGCCGGGCCTGAATCATCTTAAACCCCCACCTGAAGGACCAAATGACCCTTAAAAGTAAGGGCCCTATACCCATATACTATGAATCCCTATATGGTATATGAACCTTTAACCCTTTTAGGGTTCATTTCGTCCTTAAGGCACTAACATCCAAACCCCGAAACTCGCAAAATCCTAAGCTCTAAAGAGCTGCCTAGACCCGAATGCCAACATTCTACACAAACCCCAAACCCACGTTTAAGGTTTATAGGGTTTAGGGCTTGGGGGTTAGGGTCTAGGGTTTACAACCCCAAAGCCAAAAACAGCATCACCATCGCGAAACTGGCCTTCTCCTTCTCTTTCTGGAGCCTGGCTGCATAGGCCGAAGGCAGCTTTGCAGACTGTGACCCGTTGGCCCTATCTTTAATTCTGTCTGTCTCTTTTAGATGATTCTTAACTCTTTGGAAAAACATCACTGACATTTTTAGATATCCCTGACTCCTGAGCCTTAGACCCTAAACCCTGAAACCCAAAACCCCAGAACCCTAAGCCCTAATACCGACCTCACCGGATGATAGTCTTACCCGAATGGTTTTGACCTGAAGTGCTGACCGGGTGACGTGACCTGCCGAGCATTCCAGTCCACGAAACCGTATGCAGGTAAATGTTTCAGGTTTTGGGGTTTAAGTTCTATGGCATATGGCTTAGGCGGTTTAGGGCTTCACCATCTGGCAGCCTACCTCCTCCAAACCTCAGCACCGTAGAACAAGCGTGGATACGGTCTAGCCAACAAGGAAAGCGAGAAGCCTAAACTTATATGGACATAACAACAACTATCATCACCGCCATCATCATCATCATCTCGACCATCATCATGCTGATGGCTCACTAGCGCTGGCACTAACCCTGCCCCACCCCGCAACCACATGGCCCCTCCATCAGTAACCATCAGAATGTAACCAAACGGCTATTGATGCCCCAAAAACCCTGAATCAATAACCTCCAAACCCATCAACATGTAGCCAAACGGCTATAGATGCTGCTAAACCCCTAAACCCTGAATCAACAACCTGCAAACCCATCAACAATTTAACCAAACGGCTATTGATGCTGTTAAACCCGTTTAAAACAATAACCTGCAAGTACCCATCAACAAATTTCACCAAACGGCTTGATGCTGTTCTTCAGATGCTGCTCCAGGGCTCCGAAGGGATCTGCCTGGAAGGCCTTCGCAGAGTCGAGGACTGGTCCGAAATAACGGCTGCTATAGGGTTCAGGGTTTTTTGTTTGAGCTCCTTTTCTCCCGGGTCTACGGTTTAGGGTTCTAAAGTTCTTTCTGCTCCTAAGGCCCTAAGGGCACTAAAAGGATCATCAAGGGTTCTAGAGTTCTACCTCGAAGTGCAAGCAGAGATACCCGAACACACCTGCCAACAAGTCAGCGAAGCCAAATGAGCTGCCCACCACTTCCGGTGCAAAGGTTTAGCGTTAAGGTCGTAGGCTCAGGGCTTCGCGGCTAATCCAGGGTTTTCCCCGCAAGGGTCAAAACAGCGCAGAGCCGCTTTTGTCAGCGTCTTTAAGCCCAAAAGCCTCAACTCTTGAGACCTCAGAGCCTATCTGCACGGGCCTTCAGAAGGGACTAAAGCCGTTGAAGAGCTGGCCTTTGGGGGCATTTCGACAGTCTGAAAGACCTCGAATACTGAAGTTTCAGAGCTGGTTCAAAGATATGCGCTACGTAAGGGTTTAGGGTATATAGTTTAGCAAGGCTTGAGCTTTTAAGGATCAGGGTTATATAGTTCTGCATACTTTGTGTTTCGTGTTTAAACATATGTTTCTACATCTGTATACATATATATATATATATATATATATGCTCATATACACATATGTATCAGAATCATGACCATTTCCAGCAGGCGGTCAAAGGAAGTTCAAGCGTCCCATCACCACCGGTCTCTTGTAAATGTCAAAGCCATACAGAGATCCGACAACTTCAGCAAATAAAGCTTTGAGCCTTTGCGGTTGTCGGTGCCAAAATAGGACGGTAGCAATATGTGGTCTTGAGTAGCGCGATGCTTGCAGATGCACCTAGCAGTACCTGGCAACAGATAACGCATCTAACAAAGTCGAACTATGACAGGAATGTCAAACCATCAACCAAAGGGACATAGCCAGTTCTCTAAATTAGGGTCCCCTTTAGGATCCTTTTTTGTACGGGTGCTGTACTATTCTGAAACCTTGGGGACCTAAAAGGGACCAGCATCTCGAGAACCCCCCCTATATGCTGACCTCACTCGAAACCCAATGCAAGCCTGGACCCTTCGAAGGAGCACCTTCGATCCAACTCCAAGCACTAACACTCAAAACATCCTAACACTAAACCCAAACCCTGAATCCCTAAACCCAAAACCCCAAACTCACAGCCCTAAACTCACAACTTGCAATCCTGACTCCTAAACCCTAAGCTTTGAGGCTTTGATCCTCACCTCCTCCCGTTCCCGTGCCTTAAAGCCCAGCACACCTTGAAACTGGGCCATCTCCCTCTCATCTTGGGCGGCTTGGGCCTTTCCATTGAAGTGGAGGGTTTAGGGATTAGGGTTTTGGGATTCGGGTTTAGGGTTTGACTCCTGAGGCTTTTCATTTAGGGGTTGTTAAGATGATTTCTCCAAGTGCTCGCTCCGACCCTTGTAGGAGCAGGCAGCAGATTGCAGCAGGAGCGGCAGACTCAGCAGCTTTGTGTGTGTGCGCTGTCGGAGCAACAGTGCTATCAGGTTGGCAGAGGGCAGTGTTAGCACATGGTGCGGTCGTGATAGTCCTCATAACGCTCGTGTTACGATCAGGATCACGGCTTGCAGTTCCACTGTCTCTGAAGACTCTGTTCCTTTGTCCTGGACGCTACGGCTCGCCCTGAAGCAGACAAACGATTGGTGGTTCGTGTGCATTGGACTGAACAGGCCTGCCAACTTGGCGGACCTGACTGGGTTGGCCTTTAAACACCCTGAAAAATGTTCATATATAGGGTCCCTTATAAACTCAAATAAGGAAAACAAAAACATCCCAAAATCCAACCTAGCTGATTCTGTCTTTCTTTACTTCTGTCACCAGTGGGGCTGCTGAGGTGCCGAAGCAGCCAACTGAGCTTCCACAGCTTCCCTAAACCCTAAACCCCAAATCCTAAACTCTGGAGTCTCAAGAGCTGCTTCTTGTTCCGCTGCAAGCCACAGCTCTCGCTCAGTCTTGACGTTCGATCTTTCTTGGTCTACCTTTGCCCGCTGCTCGTCGACCTTAGCCCGCTCTGCGTCCACCTTCCCACTCCTGTTTCAGAAAATGATGAATCCCAACCATGCCCGCTCTCAAACAGCAGAATCTAAGATAGCAGGACCCGCAAACAACGGGACCACTAAAATTGAATCCCCACGCCTCCAGCAGAAAACATAGACTTCCAACAACAAACCTGAGATAGCCCCCAGCCTAGGCAAGCCACTTGTTACCTCGGTTGTTGGGGCTTGAAGGCTCAGACGGTTTATAGGATTCAGTGGTTCTGAGATTTACCATGGTTTTGGGGCTCAAGAAGTCCGGGATAGAAACCCTAACACCCAAAAGCCTAAACCCCTAAACCCCTAAACCCTAAACCCTAAGCCCGAAACCAGAAACCCTAAAAACCAAAGTCCGCTTTCAATCCGAAGCTCGAGCCTTCCTTCCTAGCCGCTTTGGCCCTTTTGCCGTCGCCGGCGCTTTGTCCTGTCCAAGCACGTTTCTGGTTCTGTACTGAACTTAGAACCCTGGCAAAAATTATGGTTTTAGCTGTTTCTTAGAGATCATAATAACCAAAAATTAAAAAGTCTTGCTAAGTACCCCTAAGTTGAGGGAGTTAGAGTTGGAGTTGGGGACTGGGTTTCTGGGCTTTGGCAAGTCAGGGCTGTAGGGGTGCCGGGGTTCCATTGCGGGCTTTGATCGGTGAAGGGCTCAATTAGAATTTCCGATTCAGCGCTTCGTCTGGCTTGTTGCAAGGATGCCCCACGTAACCATAAAGGGTTGAGGATTTAGGGGTTAGGGTTGCCATAAAGGCCTATACAGTGCACCGTAGGGGGCCCGGATCTTATTGGGAGAGCTTAACTGCAGCCGTTATTCATTCAGACCTCTCCCAACAATCCTGAAGCCTTAAGCCCTGAACCCTAAAGACTCTATACTGTTGATGATATAAATCCTGCATTACCCATAATAGGGAATATACCATAATTCCCATAGTTTAGGGTCCTTCAGGTAATGCTGGATTTATATCATCAACCGCAGTACCCTGATCGGCCCGGGTACGGCTATTATGCCTGCGGCCGTGACCTCCTCGAGGTGCGCGGTGAGATCCGCCAAGTTTGCCAAGCTGCCCGTCCGGAAGGCCTCTGTCATATGGATGGTTGTCAATATTAGGGTCCCTTTTCGGGTCCTTATTATAATACGGCACCTAATATTTAGGGTGCCCAAAAAGGGACCATAATTTTGACAACCAGCCATATAGGCCGCCATGAGGAATCATGCTGGAGGGCCTAGCGTTATGGGGCACAGCGCTCCAAACCCTAAACCCTAAACCCCTAAGCCCTGAAAGCCTTAGGAATAGCGTGCGCTACATCTCTATTCAGCAACCCGTAGGGAACCATTACCACTGACTCTTGCCCTGGCTAAAGGTTTCAGAGCTATCTCAAAGGGTTTTTGAAGGTCTTCTGGGAAGGGTGGGTTTCGGGTTTAGGCTCAGAGGGCTTAGAAGCTTCAGGGGTAGGATTTATGGTTTAGGCTCCGTTTTAATCAGCTGCACCAGACTTCCCCCCTGCAAGACTGAACTCCGGAAAACCGAGCCAATCAGAACACGCCACCAGAGTTTAAGGGCTTCGTTCGGGCTTGGGGCTTAAGGTTTATGGAGTTTAGGGGTTTAAGGTTTCGATCGGGATTAGGGTTCACGGGCTTCGGGCTTGCTGTAAAAGAGAAACCCAAAAATCCGAAGCCCCCTGCACTGAACACTGCAACCTGGCCCTGAGCTCTGACTCTTGAACCCTGCAGATAAGCCTCGAACCTCATCAAGCTGTATCTGTATATATATATATATATATATATGTGTGTGTGTATGTATGTATGTATATAAAAGCAGCCCGGGTCTGGGCTTTGGGGAGGTACCATATGTGTGTGTATATATATATACACACATATAAAATATGTATAAATAAATAAATAAATATATATATATATATGTGTGTACACACACACATATATATATATATATATATATATATATATACATATATGTTCAATCAAACTCCGAGCTCCAGCTCCTCCCCAGCTGCAACCACAGGGCCTCCTCTTGCTTTCCGATCTGGCAGAGAGCTGGTCGGAATGAACGGTGGGGGAGGGGGGGGGGGGGCTTAGGATGCAGGGTTTAGGGTTTGCATGGACCCCCAGACTTATGTAGGATAATCGCCTTTCATAGGTGCTTGGCCATTATTGTACTGATTGTTTGAGGGTTTAGGTAGTGCCAAGAGCCAGGAAGCCCTAAACCCTGGACTTTAAACCCATAACCCTGAACACTGAAGCCCTAAACCCCAACCCCGCGACCGATGGACTTCTCCAGTGCCGTCCGAATGGGTGTGTTCAGGGGCAACTGCAGGAGGCTTGGCGTCGGCAATGCCCCATCCAAAGACTTCACCAGAAGTCCGATTTCTGGAAAGGCGCAACACGCCGTATTGTTGCTCACCAACGGACCGCATGCCTCGTTTTCTTTCAGGCGTGTGAACAATTTCGCAGCTGTCTTCAGGAGGTTATGCACATCTTGGGTGAATTTATCTCTGCGGCGAGATTCCACTATGCCATTAGTGGTTTTTTTTGTGCCATACATTGAGGCACTCAAAGCAAAGCCCATTGAGCACACCGCAAGCTCGGCATTGTTCTCTCTTGTCATCAAGAATTGGCGAAGTTGCAAGGGACTGCCACCTTTGTATTTCCACTTTGGGTCTAGTGAGATCCCAGACGACTCTGGTAAAGAAGGCTTCTATGAATCCTAGGCTGCACCTGAACCACAATGAACACAAAGCCAATCATCTAAGTTCATGGGCCACCTCAGTTTGTGCAACCGCAACCCTACGGCCCTACGAACCCAATGTGGGCCGGGTTTCAGGTTCGGGGCTCATGGTTTCTTTTGGATACCACGCGATTTCGACTCAGGGGCAGTAGGCTCACGGTGTCACGGTCCAGGCTTGGGGTGCAAAACAGAGAGGGTTGGGGTTTGGGGTTTACCCTACACCCTAAACCCTACAAGCCCGAACCCTAAACCCCTAAACCCAACCCTCATCATGGCAAGCCGCTTCCCTCCTTGGTTCGTGGTCGGGAATGGGGCAATGGACTCCCTTAATGGTTTTTGTACTCGTACCTATAGTAAGGTTTGTTTTATTTTATAGGGTTAGGGTTTAGTACTTGGGGCCCTACAACCCGTTCCCCCATCCCCTTCTAACAGCCTGGCTTTCTAAATGAACCCTAAACCTCAAACCCGAAACCCTAAACCCTAAACCCTAAACCCTAAACCCTGAACCCGAAACCCTAAATAGATCTAAATAGTAAACCCAGGAATCTCGGCAGCCACGCGAGGTTGGCAAGCTCGAACTTCCTCAGAAAGTTCTCCTTGCCTCGGGAGCTGCACACGAAACCCTGAACCCAAAACTACCAAACCCTACGGCTAGAAGCCCAAAAGTTGGAAACCTAATACAGTAGCCACAATCCTTAAGAGTAATGTATAGGGAATACCAGCACTATTTGGCCTTCATCCGGTTTCCAACTTTATAGGGCTTACTATAAACCCTCAACCCAAACCTCAAAAACCCCAAACCCTCAGCCCAACTCTCAAGACCCTGAACCGGCAGCCCAGCCCGAAACTCAAGACTCGGAACTCTTCACCCAAAACTCAAAACTTCTGAACCCGAACCTTATAAAGGGAACTCCAGAAAGTTGGAATATGGATTAATGGTAGGATACCCTATAATTTACCATAAAGGGTTAAGGATACTCATATTCCAACTTTCTGGCTTCTACTGTAAACCCAAAACTCAAACCCCGTTTGCCTATGCTTTTGAAACTCCCGTGTGCCTTTAGCCACTGGGTCTCCGGCGCTGTTGTCGCTTCCGCTGGCCACGGGAAAGCCGTGTGGGCTGTTCTGCCTGGGGCTTAGAGCTTAGAGCTTAGGGTTTGGGGTTTATAGCGAGGTTTAGGGTTCAGGGCAGGGCGTTTAAATATAGGGACCTTAATAATTAGAATGGGTTTTGGGGCCCATTCTACAAAAATTATACTAAGGAACTCCCACCATTCAGAATAGTATAGGTAATTAGAGGGCCCGACACTAGGGGCTTTGAAGGGATTCGGGGTTTCGGGCTTTCACCGCGCTTAGTGGTTGGGGATTTAGACATTCTATAGAGTTGCAAAGCTTAAAGTTCAGGATGTTCCGGGCTTTTCTCCGCACAGGCTGAAAGGGGTACTGATGAGCAGACGGGGGGGCTTTGTCAAGTGACCTAAGAAGCTTTACGGTTTCTTTTTAGGGTGTCTTTTTTGAATTTCTTTTTTCAGTTTTTTTTTTAAATGTGCAATGGCCCTTTCTCCACTTCGCAGCAGCAAGCAGAGCAATTGCCTGCCTCACAAACGGGGCTTGCACAGAAGTGCAAAGTACAAAAACCAGCACTCTCAGTAGGTCAACTTAAGGTGGATCCCTGCTTCGGCTTCGATCACGTAGACCCGACCCTAACAAATCCCGATGTCCAGCACCATCACCTCGTACACTGTCAGCTGTGGCACCAACATGCGAACAAACTTCCCCTTCATGGTCACCATCATGCCCTGCAGAGCTCTGGCCAGAGACTGAAGCGGGACCCTCATCCCGAACAGCTTCAAGAGCAACACCAGAACTTTTTTGAGTTTAGGGTTTAGGGTTGAACCTGCTAAGTGTTCAGGAAGCAAAAGGACAGCTGAAACCCTCCACCCCACACGTAAGAGTCCGGTGCCTTATGCTTAAAAAAACTTAAATTGAACCTTGTGCCCTAAGCGAGACTTTCAGATAAAGCGCCCAGAAGTACGTACTGAATCTGAGGTTAATGATGGAGCCCTGGCAGTGGCGTTTGAATCCTTCACCGCAACCATGGAAACAAAGCTATAGACGCATATATAAGTAGTTCTTTACGTGTTTATGTGCTTCGGTTCATATAGGTATATAGACTATACATATATAGGCTGTACATATTTATATATATATATATATATACACATGTATACATATGACGAAAAAATGAATACATATATATATATATATATATACACATGTTACATACACACTTACAACAGACAGACAGACAGACAGACAGACAGACAGACAGACAGACAGACAGACAGACAGACAGACAGACAGACACACAGACTGCACAATACAGAGGTACAGACACATAGGCGTACTGGCAGACATGCAGGTACCTGGCAGACATAGAGGCATACAGACATATAGACATCCATGCATGCATCGCTGCATACATGCCTGCATCCATCCATCCATCCATCCATCCATCCATCCATCCACGCCTGCATGCATGCGTGCATGGATGGATGGATGGATGGATGGATGGATGGATAGATGGATATATCTAAATATAGATGTCTACATACATACATACATACATACATACATACATACATACAGTGGCATACATAAGTACATACAAAGCTTTACATATACAAACACATGCACATATACATACATACGCGTTGATGCAGATAGCAATGAATGACAGACAGGTTGTCGAAGGTATAGCTTGCCTATGTGTATAAATCGGTACGTTTAAGCATACATATCGGTGTATACACATATACATATACATATATATATACACACACACATACATAGCCATATAATGTGAGTGTGTATGTATAGATTCAGCAACCATGACGGCCCCCTGACACAACTCCGAAAGTGTCCAAAATGCTTCAAACCATCGCAGGGGCGTACCGCTTTCAGCTTGGTCTTGGCCGGCTTGGCGGCCGCCGGTTCGTCCTCGCAGCGAGAGTCAGTCCTTCGAACCCCGCCTGAAAGAGCTCTGTCCCGAAACACCTGAACCCTCAACCCTAAACCCCTAAACCCCTAAATCCGGAAGCACTGAAACCCAGCGCTGAAACCGGAAAAACCCTCCCAACCTTGAAGTCCTTACCTGGATCCGGAGCGTGCTTGATGTGTCGAATTGATTTGCTGCTCGCTTATGGCTTAGAGAGCTTATAGAGTTTAAGTTTCAGGGCTGTAGGGCTTAGGGTGGGATCCCAAAGGTGAGAGAATGGTCCCGGCTCTGGGAAGCTCCTTCGGTTGATCCTTCAAAGCCGGGGGCATGTGGTGCCGGATGAGGCTTGATATAGTGGTCTTGTAAATGCCATTTTTACTTAGATGGGAGTCTCCGAAAATTGGGGGTTAGTTCCTTATTTGGGATCCTTATAATAAGGATCCTACTATTTAGGGTGCTTTCTTAGGGTCCCCTAGTTTCGGAAACTCCCAGATTGGAATCAAAGACTCCGGATTGTGCTCGGATTCCGGGTTAACAGCTTATCGCGCGCGGAACGGAAGTACGCTGTCGGAGCCTCCGGTCGCCACTCGTCAAGATCCACATTGTTCGATGCTGTCCGGGTCCTAAACCCTGGGCAAAACCCTAAACTCAAATTTTCTTGTGAAGCAAAAGATGTTGCCTGGAAATACCATGAGGTTTCACAACAAGTATGTCTGCTCGATCTGCATAGGCTTGTAAGCCCGGCAAGCAGCAGCTGTGTTTTTGAGATCTCTCGGTGGTTGATTCAATCCTTGTGTGGATTCCTCTCAGCTATAATGTGTCAGGCTCACCCGGAGACTTGGTACAGCAAACCCGTGGGAAACCAACGCCATCAGAGGACAACCCTGATTCACGAGAACATCTCCTTAAGGCCTGCAGAATGGAAGCACGACCGTTCTTTTGTGCCCTGCGGCCAGCAGCGGGGACTTTCTACCGAAGTCTTGCAGACTCTAGACATTCCCGAACCCCAAAACCCAGCCCTAAACCCTAAACCGGATCTACGAAGCTTTGGTTACAAAGGAGCCGGAAAGTCAGTCCAAATCTCCCGAGTCGTCGTCGGGCACAGGAACATCCTCGGGGCCTTTGCTCAAGGCATGCGGGAATTGGAGCCACGGTTTAGGGTTTAGGGTAGGCATTATACGATAATGATTCATGATGACTTCTGTGACAGATCGAATGAAAGACGGTTTTGCGGCGTCCCTTGGTGACTTTGTGCACATCGGCACCATGCGCGCCCTTCGAACAGACCGAAACCCATCATATTATAGTAGTACTAAGAACACCAATAATACTAATAGTTCAAATACGAAGAATGCTAATTATGTTGATGATAAGAATTACTTTTAGAACCAATAGATTAACAATACCATACTATTGATCCTAATAACAACATCAATAGCAGCTCATCGGCAAGTGCCATCACACTGGAAAACTGATAGCAAACCATAAGATCTGAAACCGTAAAGCCGAAACCCTGCAGCCTAAACGAAGGCTCCCTGCTCGGTTCTACGGCGATATCCGATATGCACAAATCATGATTCATCAACCTGCAACTATGAAAAGTTTGGGGGGTTGAGAGGAATGAAACTCAAACCCTTGAACGAAGACTCCACCCGTGCGCGCATGCATGCCAAGCCTCTGTGGGGAGTTGATGGGATTCGGCTTCACAGGGTTGTGTAGTCTGGGAAATAACGCTGCTGGAGTTTCCTTCATGGAATTTGCTTACCTGGCACACCTTCCAAAAGCAAACTCATCAACACATGCAGGTTTACTATAATGATAGAGGCCGAGATTTTTGGTAAAGAAAATCCCTGGGAACCTATAGAGCAACTTCAAATACCGCCAAACCTTGCTCTGATGTTAGGGCCCCTATCATAAACCCCAGAAAATTCAATAAGCAGCTCTTTTAAAACCTCTTCACGGCCCTATTCAAGGCCCCAGATCGTCTGTATTGTGGGGTCCACTCAGCTTCCCACGAAGTGCGGCCGCTGCCTTCAGCGATCTGATCTTGGGGCGTGAGCTCTATAGGGATTGGGGTTTGACAGCTTTTGGTGCTTAGCATGTTAGGGTTGAGGGAGAGGGTTTATTTGGGTTTAGGGTTTCGGGGTTAGGGTTTGTTAGGGTTTAGGGTTTGAAGTTTCGGGCTCGACCGCATATGGTTGAACGCGTCAGGTCAAAGGCGTTCTGCGCAGGGCCGAAGCCAAACCCGAACCATGCCTTATGTTTCTGTGACCGCTGTGAAGGGTTGCAGAATAGAGAGGCCTGAATAATTTGTAAAAGCATCTCTTATAACATGACGTACTCCTAAACCCTTAGAAGCTGCAAGCTCCTAGATATATGTGGCCAAATACGGAGTGAAGATGCTCAAAGTTGAGTGTCTCCAAGCTCTTAGATCACGGCGCAGGTCAGAGTGTTCGTATGCTAAGTTCAAAAATATCGCTCAGACAACTTCATGAGCAAACAACCTGACTGCCTCCTTCCTAAGATCAGGCTTGCAAACCACACAAAGCAATGAGCCGATTCTCATGTGGCTCAAGTGGTTTTTCCAAACTGGAAATATTGGCAGGGATCAGCATCCGTGTCTTGCAAAGATGATAGGTACCATTTGTGAATGTTGCTTGTGGCCCGACATGTGATATGCAAACTGGCATACGGGCGTGCAGCCCGAAAACCCATTCCCTGATGCATGCTACAGTGCGGACAGCATATCCGGAAACCGCAAGAAAATGCGGGGGGGGGGGGGGGCTTGCAAGTACCAAGACCCAGTACAAGGGGACGATAAACCTGGTTCATAGCTATACTTGGGAGAACCCGAATAAATTGGGGTTGAGGACAAATCTAACCCGATCCCAAAGTCATCAGCTATGATATATGCATGAACAGGATGCATTCTGGGAAGTGCTGTGCCCAAACGTCTCGACCGGACCCACAGCGGCACGTAGAGGGTACCAGCTCCCGCTCGGACCATGTATTTACCTATAGTCTCCATTGTAGTTCCTTTTTTTGGTGAACCAAAACTCTATTATAGCTTCCTAACCATAAAATTGGGTAACCAAAAAAAGCACTACAATGGAGACTATAGGTACATGGTACCTACTGTAGCCGTAACCAGGATTTGAATTAACCAGGGAAAAAAAGTGTAGACGTGTATTTCATAATGGTTTCCTTTAAGGAGCAGGTCTCCAAGAAAGTATTAAAGTATGGTACTCCAAAGCCCAGGTAAGATACCTAATCTGGACGGCTTTCGAGGCTCAAAGTATATGTGATACAGCTAGACAACGAATGAAACTGCACCTCCCTCCTGCTGTTACTTGCTCAATGCTTGAGCAAAGAGCAACGGCCCAAATTTCCAGTTTGAAACCGTAGCTTAGACAAAGTGGCACTCAGTCTGACGGCAGCCATTCGTGCAAATGCCAAGAGAGTTCCTTCTGGGCACCCATCGTAGCCTAGGGGCCTGAAAATTCCGATTAGGGTGTCGGGGTGTATAGTATGCTAAGACTGATTCAGGCTTCTGCATTGAATTCCTTGGTGTTGTAACCTTTCAGGGGGGCAGGTTCTGCCCGCAGTGGCATGAGCATGCTAGGAAGGTTTGAAGCAGTCGACCGATCAGGGGCCGCAGGGGAAAAACTCCTAAATTTGCAACCCTACACCCTAAACCCTACACCCTAAACCCCTACACCCTAATCCCCTAAACCTTAAACCCCTAAACCCCTACACCCTAAACCCTGGCAGATTGGCAGCTAGAGCTGGCGTCTGAAGGTTGAGAAGTTTGCTGGCCAGCTGGTTTCAAGGTGCATGGCTTCTAGCTTTATGCTTTTCGGGTTTAGGGGTTTAGGCTTAGTTTAGGGGGTTCGGGTTTAGGATTCATGCAGGCCATCACTTCAACCCTTAGTATGATGCTCATTTCTGCCTGCGTAAGGAAGATTTGTCCTACGGAGGACGAAGTCAGCTCTGAACTTTCCGAAGTCGATAGAAGCCGAAGATACGGTTGATGACATAAATCCTGCATTACCTTCAGGACCCTAAACTCTAGGAATGTTGGCCTTGTTAGGGGTAGTACAGGGATTACACCATCAACAGTAAGCCGTGTTGAAACTACGAGGGGTTGAGCCTGGCACAAGTCATGAACTGTTTCAGGCTTCCTCAACCGTAAACCCTGCATCCGACACACAGAAATCCTAAGTTCTAAACCCAAACCCGCCCAAACCCGCCCAAACCCTATAGACCCTAAACTCCCAAACCGTAAATTCTACACCCAAACCCTGTTTATGCCGCGGAGACCTATGGCACCCTCGCGAAGAGATTGGAGCCCCGTGACCTCTTCCTCAGGAGACTCGAACCACCCAGAGAGTTTTGCACGAACCCCTAAGCCCTGAACTTGGTAGCTTGCCAGTTGCCAGGACCCCCCAAGTGCGTATTTGGGGTATATTAGAGGGTAGTTGGGGGGTCTAGGTATGGGTCAGGTTTTAGGGATGTCAGTCCTGTTCTGGTGGGTGTGCTGCTTGGCAGACCAGTCCACGCAACGATGAGATCTGAACTCCGAACCGTAATTCCTCCACCCCGGACCGGAACCTCAAATCGGCCTACTCCCTCAACTCCCTAAACTTCATGCCTTCGGCTGAGGCTTGTTGTCCTTGCCCTTCTTGCCGGACTTCACATGTTTCTTGACCTTTACCTGGCGCGGGCTCTCCGAAATACATGATATAATGTATGCATATATACATATATATATATATATACATACATATATATATATATATATGTATGTATCTATATATATATATATATACATACATACATATGCAAACATATCAACCTCTGCGCATATATATATATATATATATATATATATATATGTAATTATATATATATATATATTACATATTAGCATGTGTGTATATATCTATATCACACGCATGCACATAACTGACATAGGGTCGCGGGCTGGACCATGCTCGTATGTTTACAGCAAGATACATTAAGGAATCGTATTACTGCTTCTTCAGGTCCTACACCCTCAGCCCTAAACCCTAAACCCTAAGCCCTAAACCACAAACTCTAAATCCTAAACCATAAACTCTGAACCCCTTAGATGCAATCAATGGAGATCTAACTTCCCAGTTGGAGGGGGGGAAGGTTTGCGGGGTTTAGATTTTGGGTTTTTGGTTGGGCTTCGGGTTTTTGGGTTTAGAGTTTAGGGCGGGCTTAGGGTCTGTTGTCGGCTTTTCAGCTGTGCGTTTAAAGTCGACTGTAGGCGTTTCAGGCAGCCCCGGTCTACAGCCTAGACCTAAGGCCCCAAACCCTAGGCCCTAAACCTAAGGCCCGAAACGTAAGGCCCTAAACCCTAGGCCCTAAACCTAAGGCCCTAAACCCTAGGCCCTAAACCTAAGGCCCTAAACCCTAGGCCCTAAACCTAAGGCCCTAAACCCTAGGCCCTAAACCTAAGGCCCCAAACCCTAGGCCCTAAACCTACGGCCCCAAACCCTAGGCCCTAAACCTAAGGCTTCTAGAATTCAGGATACCGCGAAACCCCTAAATGCAATGGTCCCACTTGAAGTGTGAAGTCATCTTGGAACCCCCCGCAAGCGCTCAGAGTGCCTCAGAGCGGACGTCTTTTGTTGCGGATAACGCCAGAGTCTGTCCTACGGTGGCTAAAGTCATATGGACCTGGGCAATCTCTTGCGGGGGTTCGCCGTGCCTGCTTCAATCCTGCAGGACCAAATGACCCTTAACAGTATAGGGCCCTATACCCATATACTATGAATGCCTACATGGTATATGAACCTTAAACCCTATGAATCCCTATAAGGTATATGAACCTTTAACCCCTTTAGGGGTCATTCCGTCCGTAGTATATAGGCCCTAAACCCTATACCCTTATAGAACCCCTATAGATCCTTTTAAAGGGACCCTTAAAGTAACCCTCTTAGGGTTCATTTCCTCCATAACGATGCTGCAGCCGCAGCGCCTGGATGGCAAAGCATGAGACCCCTACAATCCCAAATGCGCAGAAAGGTAGCAAATAGCAGCTTACCCTAAGGCCCTAAAGTAGTTCCTTTTTGGGGTTAATATGTAGAAGCTTATGAGGTAATCCCAAAAAGGAACTACTATGGGGCCTCTGGGTAACGCAGACCCTTAAACCCTTCCGCTTTGACAAACCCAGGTCCGCGAGACAATTGTGCAGCCGCAGCGGCTGAGGCTTGATCTGCAAGGCCGGACACTTCCGGCAAAGCCCATGGGATAAATCAGGACTATAGAGTCTAAGTCTTAGGTTGTAGGGTTTATGATAACAAAAGACGGCTTCCAGCACATGAGACAGTTTCCAAACACAGTTAGAAAGACGCCTCACAGCCTAACACTATTTCGACTGGCACTGCTCTTGCTACTGCATGCTATGGAGTTCCGGATTTTCGGGGTATCAGGGCTTGATGGTTGCTGGCTGTAGGGCTTCTGAGTGTAGGACTCGTGAGTTGAGGGTGTAGGGTGGAAGAATAATAGCGGCTCCTTCCTAAACTTTCAGCCCTAAACCTAAACCCCCCTAAGCCGTGTTCACTCATGTCCTCCCAGTCCGTCTGGTAAGTCTCGGCCAGCGGTTCTTTAAATTTGCGGTCTACGTCGGTGCCAGGCAAAACTAGGCCGAACGGCCTGCGACGCTGAGGGTTTGGGGCATCACCTGCAGGCACAATCGCCCAGGTTGCTTGCATCGTTCATGGTTTGGACTACCCAGCGGCTCCATAGTAGTTCTTTTTTGGGATTACCTCATAAGGTTCTAAATATGAACCCCAAAAAGGAACTACTTTAGGGCCTTAGGGTAATCTAGTCTCCAGAAAAGAAGCCTGAAAGGGCGCTTGGAGTTTACCTTCCTATAAGCACCGCTTGGCGATTTCTGGGTAGCGGGCTAAGAGTTGCGCGTCGTCACCATCGAAGCGGCTTCTGTAGCTACAGCACCAGTCCCAGTCGCAATGATCGTCGTCGCTGTCGTAGTAGCCATGGCTTGGCCGTCTCAAAAGGAGCAGTCATCGTTGTCGTCGCAGCCGCTTTCTTTGTAGTCTTTTGTTGGCTTTTCTGCGTTGTACAGCTTACAGGGTTTGCATCCTCAGCATTGCATCAGACTTGCATGTGTCGCAGCCAGCGACATGCAAGAGTTCAGCATTAGCCGGTGAGAGACCTAAGGGACGGGGCACAGAAACGGGCGCGGCTTCAAGTCATGCTTGTTAGAACCCAAGAACGGATCCCTAAACAACCTTCCAAAGCCCTGAATCCTACAGAACTCCGAAACCTGGTCATAGACCCCGAACAGCAAGATGATACCCCATCCGAATCAGGATTTGCATTGTGGAGAGCGTGGAATCATCGGCTTAAAGTTTTGAAAGAACATCGAATCAACACGTATCAGGGGTATGAAAGATTAGAAAGAGGTTTCGGGGTAGATTTGAGCATGGTGACATGCGGATTTGGCGGGCGTATAGTTACTAGTGACCCCTCCACTCGCCGGCCCAAAATCTACGGACTGGCTCTTCCCAGGATGTGCTGACATAGAGGTGGAAGGAGGTCTGAGAAGATCCTGAAGGACACTGAAGGAAGCGCTGAAGCAGAAAGCCTTGAAGTGAGGTTAGGGTTGAGGTTTGCACGCTTGGGATTGGGGCTTCTGGGGTTTGCTTACGTCGAGGAAATCGTCGCGTACTCCCGTCTGTTCCCTGTGCCGATGCGATTGCTACGTCACTGTTCCTCTTCGTCTTCCTCCTCTCCGTGGTCCTCACAGCGGCAGTGCAGTTGCTGAGCACGAAACACAATCTCTGACACAGCTGCAAGCCTACAGTGACGTGAGTCATCATGACCGTCATCATTGTCATCAGCATCCTGATAAGCTTTCTCTTCGTCGTCAAAGTTTAAACCGAATTCGCAATGCCTGAAGCCTAAGGCCTACTTGCTATACCCGAGCAACTTGAGCAAACAGGCCCAAACCCACTGAACTCATACCACGGATCGAGACATAGTTTTGTAAGCGATGACGTCTATTCCCTATACAACTCTTGTGCGACATGGCAGGGTGGCTGCCTAAGGCCATATAACAAAACAAAATAGGCTGTAACAAAACTTACGCCTCGAAACCGGATGTTCGACAACTCACTTGACATGCGTCCAGATCTTCCAAGATAAATGTACCGTAACACACCTTTATAATCATACTAGGGGGTCCTATTTTCACTTAAGGTATCTTCCTGAATTCAGGGATATTATGTCTGGGCCCCTAAACCTCTAAACCCTGAACCCCTAAACCCCTACACCCCAAACCCTCAACTCCTAAACCCAAAAACCCTCAACCCCAAGCCCACTGAACCCTGACACCTGAAGGTTTCCTCGCAAAGGCCACAAGCGTTGACCCCAAGCCTTCATCCCCGAACCGTGGTCCTTAGAGTCCCAGCAGGGTTTTCTATAGGGTTTAGGTTTAGGGAAGGTCTAGGGTTTACGGTTTGGGTTTAGGACTTAAGGTTTAAGGTTTAGGGTTTACGGTTTGGGGTTTTGGGGTTTAGGGTTTAGAGTCTTAAGGTTACGAAGTCTTTCCGCGTCAACAAAGTCCTCCGGCCACTCGAAGGTAGACAAGTGTTTTCTCGCCGCACCTGTGCACAAAGAGGGCGTGCACACTGTCCATGTTCACAGATGTGACTGAAAGCGTAACTTTCGCGATCCTCAAGCCAACAGAAACCACGAATCGCAGCCCCCAAAGGCTGACCTCAAAATCAACACACCGTCCCCTATGCTGAACTTAGAACCCTAGCAAAAAAAATAATTTTAGCTGTTTCGAAGTACCCCTAAGTCCAGAATCAGGTGTAGGGGCCACCCTAAACCCTGAACCCAAAGCCTTGGATGTGCACGTGGGCATGATGCTACAGAGCGGGCCGCTGAGGAGCTCCGGACTTCGCCCATAAATCTACTCTAACTCAATAAATATGTTAAAGCTGTCGGATAGAAGACTACCCAAAGCCTTTCTTCTTTCTTCTGGGCAAGGTTCGTGCTGAAAAGCTGCATGAGTTTGTGCCTCTAGCTTAATCGTTTTCACCCCAGAAGTGGCCTCTTTCTCAGGATGTAGACCGTGTCCCAATTATCAAGGCCCCTGTGTTTGGTAGTGTCTATACGACGGTATACTACCCCAAGACCCTGACCCTCTTCCAATTATCAAGGCCCGTCTCTTGGGGTCCATACGATAGTATACCCCCAAGACCCTGTTCGAATTACAGTAGTCTTTACATTACCTATGGCCTAAGGGTTCACGTTGGTAGCGGGTTCCCGCTATTGAGGCTGCTATGTTTGTTTGTTTTTTTGTTTTTTCCCGGCTTGCTTTTCATGCTTCCTCGGTTCTTAGCAATTGGAAGCTCCTGGCTTCGAACGTGAGTATTCTCAGAAAGCCCAAATTTGCTTTGATGCTTGTGTTTGTGTTTGTTCGTGGGAGGGGGGGGGGTCTGCAACTGGGTACGTTTAGGATTTCGGGCTTAGGGTTTAGGGTTTTGGCACACGGAGCTGAGTGCAGTGTGCTTCCGACTATCCGAATAAAATCGCAGACTTAAGGAACCTCGTGGAGAGGCATTGTCAGAAGTTTTCTAAAGTCGAAGTGGATCCTTATTACACCCGAGTTTAGGGGCCTCAATATCTAGGGCTCCTTTGAATAAGGAGTTACTATAAGAAAGCCTCTAGGCCCTAGGCGCACTCCACTGAACAACGGTATCGCTCAACCGGACTCGTCTCATCTCGTATCCCTCGAACTCGAACACCGGTTCAGATAAGGGCTTGAGTACTGCCCGCCCAGTCTATATTTGGGATCATATCCAAGGCTATAACAATGCCTAGTATTTACGACAATATAAATATGAGTGTATACGTGTACATATATATACATATATACATATATATATATATACATATATATGTATACATATATTATATCCAACGGTTACAGAGTGGCGCTTCTAGTTGAGGATCCTTGTTGGCGATCGCCCCTCCTACAATGCCCCCCCCCACCTGCAGTACAACGAACCCTGGCACCAGATACCCTCGCAAATACTCCCCAAGCCAAGCAAACCAAATCGAAACCTGAACGCTAAACCCTGCAGACCCCAATATTGGTGCCATAGTCGTTGGCCCACTGTGGCTTTGGCATAAATCAGGTCTCAATATTCAACCCCTGAACCCCAAACCCTATACCCCTATAAACCCTAAACCCTATATCCCCTAAACCCTAATTTAGCCGGCGTCCCCACAGCAGGAATGGCCTGTGACCTCCTCGTCGATCGAGCGGGGCACGGCCTAGAAGTGCGAAGGGTGCACAGGCTACCCAACAAAGGTTAAAGGTTACCTACTCTACTACTAGGTACAGTTTGGTATAGTATAGTATCGCAGAATATAATAATTCTTGTACATTAAAGTATATAGTATAGTATGACGTATAGTACATTGTGGTGTAGTATAGCATCGCATAGCATAGCAGGGTCTTGCAATGCTCGCGATCGGGCCTGGGAATCGATTTAGGGTTTGCCTTTTTAGGGTTTCAAGGGTGTGCACAAAACACAAATCCCCACCCTAAGCCGGAAAACCCCCCAATTCCCCACCTCAGCCCTAAGCCGGCGGAACGGTTTTTTTTTTCCTAGGTCTGGTCCGCCCCGGCTTGCTTTCCTAAGTCTGTTTTGCATGAAGCTATTGGGGAACTACAACTTGCGGAGTCTGATTTTGCTTGTGTTTAGCATCAAGCTGTTGAGGAACCACAAGTTGCAGGGTTCGGTTTTCTTTGTGTTTTGCATGAAGCTATTGGGGAGTTCGCATTTGCAGGGATCGATGTTGCTTGTGTTTTGCATCAAGCTATTGGGGAACTACAATTCGCAGGGTCTTCTTCTGCTTGTGTTCTGCTTCAAGCTATTAGGAAACTACAATTTGCGGTGTGTTCTTCTGCTTGTGTTTTGCGTGAAGCTATTGGGGAATTACAATTTGCGGTGTGTTCTTCTGCTTGTGTTTTGCATCAAGCCAATGGGGAACTACAATTTGCGGGGTCGGCTTTGTTTGTGTTTTGCATCAAGCTATTGGGGAACTACCATTTGCAGAGTCTTTTATTGTTTGTGTTTTCCATCAAGCTAATGGGGAACTAGCATTCGCAGGGTCTGGTTTTGCTTGTGTCTTGCATGAAGCTATTGGAGCACTACAATTTGCAGGGTCGTGTTTCGCGTGTGAATATTGCCTGATTACAATTTCAAATCTTCTGTCTTGTGTCGTTGTTTTTTGCTGTCGTTGTCGACATCCTCGTCATCCTCGTCCTCGTCCTCGCCGTTGCCGTCGTGGTAGTTGTTCTTGTTGCTGTTGCTGGTGTTCTTGTTGTTGCTGTTGTTGTTGTTGTTGTGGTTGTCGTGGTGGTTGTGGTTGTGGCTGTTGCTGTTGTTGTTGTTGTTCTTGTTGTCAGACAGACGTGTTGCTGTTGTGGTTGCCATTGTTGTTGTTGTTGCTGCTGTTGTTGTTGTTATTCTTGTTGTTGTTGCTGCTGTTGTTGTTGTTGTTGTTATTATTATTATTATTGTTGTTGTTGTTGTTGTCGGTGTTGTCGTCGGGTTGTTGGCGTTCTTGTTGTTGGTGTTGTTGTTGTTGCTGCTGCTGCTGTTGTTCTTGTTGTTGTTGTTCTTGTTGTTGTTGTTTTTGTTCTTGTTGTTGTTGGTGGTGGTGGTGGTGGTGGTGGTGGTGGTGGTGGTGTTGGTGGTGGTGGTGGTGTTGTTGTTGTTGGTGGTGTTGTTGGTTGTTTGTTGTGTGTTGCTTGTTGCTTGTTGCTAGTTGTGTTAGTTGCTAGTTGTGTGAGTTGTTAGTTGCTAGTTGCTAGTTGTTAGGTGTTAGTTGTTCGTTGCTAGTTGTTAGTTGATGGTGTTAGCTGTTAGTTGTCAGTTGTTGGTTGTTATTTGTGAGTTGTTAGTTGTTTCTTGTTAATTGTTAGTTGTTTCCTGCTTATTGCTCCTTGTTTCTTGTTTGTTGTTTCTTGTTTGTTGTTTGTTCTTTCTTGTTTCTTGTTAGTTGTTTGTTGTTAGTTGTGTTAGATATGTAGTTGTTTGTTGTTAGTTATTTGTTGTTTGTCACAGACAGACAGACGGACAGACAGACATGGATACTGCGGCCTGAAGGGTGCACGTCGCCCCGAAGGGCTGTCAGAAGCAGGAGAACCGCAGCGCAGTTGCGACTGGCTCTTTCTGTGTCTTGCAAGCCGAGTGCCTGCAGCACATTGCGTCCCCCTACAATGTGACAGGACCAGGAGAGACCAGGGGACCAGGGAACCAGGGACCAGGGGACCAGAGGATCAAAGGACCAGGGGACCAGGGACCATGGGACCAGACCTAGCAAGGCCCCCCAGACCGGACCAGACCTAGGAAAAAACAAAACCGTGGACCCGCCCAAAGCCTTACGCCCAAATCCCCACCCTAACCCCAAACCCAAAATCCCGGCCCGAAACCCTAAACCCAAATCCCCACCCTCAACCCTAGAAAGCTATCAGCTTTAGGAAACGTTCGACCCGCCCCCGGTGTCCTCGATCTTGTCGAGCCGGATGGGTCTCTGCCTTTCAAGAGGCGCGCGGCTTACAGTAAACATGATAGTGACTACTTGGATAGCCATAATGATAACTAGTGACCATGATCATGCTAATTTTTGTGATAAGAACAAAAATGATAATAAACATGACTCACCCTCAGTGGTTTAACTTAAAGATACTCGGCTTTAGCGTTCATCCTTGGTGGCTGGGACTTACGGTTAAAGCTTAAGAGTCGATTTATGGTTTAGGGAACATGGTCTCGGGGTCTTGACTTAAGGTAAAAGCTGAATTTCATCTTGGACTTAGTTTCGTGGCTCAGGGCATTGAGGCTGCACACCTTCTGCGCTTTCGTGTGCGCCATGCTGCTTCAAGACCGGCTCACTAGCTTACACAAGCTTCGCGACTTAAGCATGCTGCAAGGGTGGCTCCATGGCGTACCAGAAATCCTAAACTTCCCCAATTGCTGCTTAAGCATTTGGTTGAGTGTGGGGTTTATAAGTTTATCATGCTAGCATTGAGGCTGCTACCGAGAGTATTGAATACGAAGACTTCCGGCACATCCACTCACCCACGTCAGACCTACCGTAGAAGTCAGAGAGTTGAAACATCAATGTCCTCATGCCCTTCAGGTAAAGTATAGATGATCCCAGCACTGATCATCCTAAACTCATGTTCCAACTTACTGGGAAACACTATAAGTGTACCCGAAACCCTGAACCCTAAACCCAGGATGCACTGGGCCTGAGAAAGTCCGTCATCCGGGCCACGAGCTCCCTCGGGAAATCAGAGATATTTCGGGCCTCCATGGCGTCCTGACGGGCTTTGAGGCTTTGAATCTTTCTCAACTTTATGAGGCTGGCAGAAGATTGGCGATGCAAGGACGCCAGAATTAGGTCAAGCCCTAGCTTTTGGAACACCCATTTGGGGAATGGGACTTGACATAGCTTTCCTTAACCTTAAAAAAATACGCCACCATGGTTACCCATTCTGTTCTTTTGTTTGGGGGGGTTCCTTATTATAAGTATAAGAATGGGCCGCCCAGCCCCAAAATTCCATTCTAATCATGAAGGCCCCTATATTATGCCATTATAGTACCCATATAGACCCCTCTTTAAAAAAGGAACCCTGTTCCAAAAACTGCAGGCCCCTGTGTCCGTCCCGACCCACAGTCCTTGAACTGTGGCATCACCTCGCGTCACAGCTCAAAGTCAACTTGGGGTATCTATGCTGAACTTGGAATCCTAGTAAACATTAAAATTTTAGCTGTTTCTTAGAGTCTTAGAGATTATAATAGCCAAAACTTAAAAAATATTTCTAAGTACCCCTAAGTACAGGCTTTAGGGTTTAGGGACGGGGCTTGGTTTCTGAAGCTTTGACGAGGTAGTCGAGTTTGGGGAATGTAACCTCTGTATAAGGGTCAGCTGAAGCTCCGTCTAAACGTGGGGTCAATGGAATATATTTGGTAGTTTCCGAAAATAGGGACCCTAATATAGTACCCTGAGTAGTACGATGATTATACGGACCCAAAAATACGGTACCTCTAATTTGCGGAAACTCCCATATTTCTGTCCACAATAAAACAGACAGACTGGAGCTATTGCCGGCGATGGTGTGGTTCAAGGTCCAGGGCCCAGAAACTCTAGCATTCTCACCTTCAGCGAGGGGTCCTTATTATAATGGGCCCCAAAACCCTATTCTAATTATTAGGGCCCCTTATATTATAGTTCCCCTATAGACCCCCTTATAGTAACCCTTATACAGACCGAAAATAGACTTTCAGCCTAATATACCTAGAGCCATGAGGCCTAGCTGTTCGTCAAGCTGTCTATCTGTAAGCTTGTATACGTGTCTGCCAGTCTATCTCTCCGTCCTTCTATTATAAATCTTTCTGTTTATCCGTCTATCCGTCTATCTACTTATTAACCAACCTAGCTACCCACCTACCCACCTGTCTGCCTACCTACTTTCCTACCTATTTATCTATCTCCCTATCTATGTATCTAGCTATCCATCTAAGTGTTTCTGGCTATCCGATTGATCCCCTGCGTTTGTATGTCAGCAGCAACGTAAAACCCGGAATCCGAACGCTAAGCCATAATATGGAGGCCTTAATAATTAGACCAGGGTTTTTTGGAGCCCATTATGCTATGACTGCTATGATTATGATAAGGAATCCCCAGAATGGTATAGGTAATTGTATTGAAGCCCCTATATTACACTGCAAGCCACGTGCCTGGCTTCTTAGGTACAGGAGCTCCTTGACCCAGGGTCCTGACAGGTTCTCTTGGGTTTAGGGTTGAGGGTTTGCCTTTGAGGTTTGGGTACTCGGGTCTCAGGAATAGTGTTTTAGGGTGTGGGGGGGGGGGGCTTATGGGTGTTGGGATCAGTTGTGGCTGTTGCTACAGTTTGTTGCTGTTGCTGTTGCTGTTGATGCTGTTGTTGATGCTGCTGTTGTCGATATTGTCGTTGCTGTTGTTGTCGTTGTTGTTGTTGTTGCTGTTGTTGTGTGTGTTGCAGCTGTTGTTGTTGCCGGCGGCAGGGTGGCCGTGGTGGTGGCGGCTGCTGCGGCCGCTTCTGATCCAACAGTTATCGTTTTTGGTGGTGGCCCTCTCCTCATTGCTGCGTCGGTTACGACCAGTGCAAGCTCCGTATTACAAGCACTACATACTTGCTCTTGCTGCTCGCACTTCTCGTGGGCACTGGGATCGTCAACATCGGTCTCACGGTAAAAACCCATGCCCCGAACACTAACCCTGAACGCCTAAACTTGAAACCCCTGGACCTTAGACAACTTCAAGCTCCTTTCTGTCGGCTTTCGGAGACTCACAAACCAAAACCCTGCACATGCTTGCTCTTTCCGTAAACCCCCTTTCATCTATCAACACCTCGAGCACCTGTGTAAACCGCTCTACGACCCTGTGAACCTGTCTCCGTACGCGTGGCCTTGCTGGATGTACGCGTACCACTTGTCGAAGCGGATCTGGCAGGGAAACAAGCCCCAAAATGCTCTACTCCCCAGACCCAAAGCTCTGAATCCCAAACCCAACACAGTGGTGCCGGTGTAAAGACGATGGATGCCGATGGAGGTCTGGGACGTCAGGAGGATCATGAACCAACAAAGATCGCGCCATGCTAGCCGTCTCAGGACAACCTGCAGCACACATCCTCAATTGGCGCGAATCCCTGTCAGCGAGACCTGACAGCCTGCACACATGACATCCGGCAGGCCCTTTAGGTAGACCCTGGGTTCAAACAGCTTCGGCTGGGAACTGCATGGTGGATGCTAGCCCTGGGCCCTGACTGCACATGGTGTCTTCCGACAGTAGTGGCCCCTTCATAGAGATCATCTACCAGGGCCCTAACCTTCCAGGGTTGATGTCAGGGTACTCTTCGCTCGAAAAACGCTGAAATCCTGGATTACTCGTTCAAATGAAAAGCCGAAGACATCATCCGAAGACCAACGTTCAAAATCTGCGGCCGCACAAACCCGAACCAGCACACGCAGCAGAGATGCACACATCAATCCAGCTGCCCAAAATGAACAAAGTATGCTCCATGTGAAACTTGCATGAGCTTCTTTTGTTGAAGTCCTTCGAACAACCGACGGGTTCCAGCACTTTGACTCGCTCAAGGTGCACGGTATAAGGTACTAGTGAGCGGTTGTTGACGCTGAGCTGCTGACGGTCGCGACAACTCGTATTGCAAAGCAACATCGCACATCCCATAGATAGATCAACAACCCCATATAACGCCCTATAAGCCACAGCCCAAAACCAAAACCACCAAGCTGCAGCCCAAAAGCGCATCCCCCGAACCGTCTGCCTCGTTTTTCTTCTCGTCCACCATCAGCGCATTTGCAAACAGGAGAACGAAAGGTGAGAAGACGAGCGACGAGTCCATGATGGAGTTGAATCTCGGGATTCAGGTCTACTACAGGAGGCTTGCTAATTCGAGCAGGGCTTTGGGGGTAGTTATACAAGAGCCCTTAAGGAACCATGTTCTGATCTCTAAGGCTCGTGGAGCTAGGAGGTTTTCGGGTTCAGGAAGTTGGGTTTAGTGCTTGCGGAATTGCTATCTTTTGTGGTCTCCTCGTTTCACTGCGGCTACGAGTTTTAAACTCCTCTGCTAGGATGAGCCTGTTTGGTTCGGGCCCTGAACCTGAAGGACCAAATGACCCTGAAAAGTAGGGGCCCTATGCCTATACCCGTATACTATGAATCCCTATATGGTATATGAACCTTAAACCCTTTTAAGGTTCATTCCGTCCTTAAGGAAGTCATGGCCCCGAGCCTAGACCCCAACCCCCCCTGTGGCTCTCACCAAAAGTGTGCAAAAAGTGACCTACGACTCCACTGCTCCGACATCTCATTTGTTCAGCCCAGCGTGCATGCCACATCTATCGACAACACGCCGGAAGACTATAACTATCATACAAAACCTACTGGTGGGACCACCGGAAACCTGATACAGTTTTTCGCACTAAACCCTAAACCCTCCTGGCTGACAAAACACAAAGGCGCCCCAAACAACACACCCGAACAAGCCTCACATCCGAGCAGGCTATGTAGGTTTCAAGGTCAGGGTATATTTGCGGGGGTGCAGGGTAAAGCATTTGCTATGCAATGTGGGTTTAAGAAAACGGCATACCAAAAAATGTACATGAAGGAACCCGAAACAAACCTCTTCAGCTTACTCAGGCCCGCAAATTAAGCCTCAAAAGGGCCGGCCTACCCATTTTCATGGAGTCGCTGAAGACCATCCACTCTTCTCCGTCCTGCGGCGTAGTGGGAGATACATCTTACAGGCAGTTGCGGTTGAGGCGCTTGAGGCGTTCAGGCTTGCGGGTGAGTCACTCCCTGAAGGACCAAATGACCCGTAAACGTATAGCACCCTATACCCGTATTCTATGAATCCCTACATGGTATATGAACCTTAAACCCTTTCGGGTGTCATTTCTTCCATAAGGTCACCTACACAACATCAGCAGAACCTACAAACCTGAAATCTCAGGCCAACGCCCCAGCATCCTTAAGGCTGTGCAATCTTATAAACCCTGCGCCCTCCACCTCTAAACCCTAACATAGATGTGTGATGAAATAGACCAGCTTTTTGTTCTGGATTTCTACACCAAAAACGAACAGCAGGGAAGCCTAAGGCATACAGTACTCGTTCTGATTTATAACAGAAGACTTACCGTCAACTGTAAAAGGCCCGTCTTGTAGTGCATCCCACGCAAGCGGTCCGCGCCGGACATTTGGTAGTCAGCGTTTGCGGAGCCACGGAAGGGGGAAACCTCCCACTTCACGGTCTAAATGTCTCGTGTTGTTTATATAGGGGTTTAGGGGTTCCTTAAGGACGAAATGAACCCTAAAAGGGTTTAAGGTTCATATACCATACAGGGATTCATAGTATAAGGGTATAGGGCCCCTACTTTTGAGGGTCATTTGGTCCTTCAGGTTTGGGGTTTAGGGATTTCGGGTTTCGGGTTCAGGGTCGAGGGCTTGAAGCGAAGTGTGGGGATTCATATGCCCTATGCTAAAGGGTTTAGGGTTTAGGGCTTTAGGGTTTAGGGTTTTAGGGTTTAACCCCAAAAGGTAACCTACCTTTCTCAGGGTTCGTATACAGAAATCATAGCGAGGAACCCTTAAGTACCTCCTGAACCAAAGACCTGAGGCTAGGGTCTGGCTTCATTGAGGATCGATGGGCTGACAAGTTTCAAGGCTCGTGGCCCCGACAACATTAGTATAAGCCACTTTTACTGCAGTATGACAGTTAACAATGATAACGTTATTAATTCTAGTAACAAAAGGCAATAACAACAACACACGAATATGTTGAATGTTGAGCCTTGTGGATGGGGCTTAGCAGTCTGGGTTGAGGGCTTTGGGTGAGGTTCTGCAGTACGGCTTGGTTCAGAAGCGAAGCCAACTTGGGTTGGCCTTGGATTGCGACCTCTTCCCGCCAAGGAAACAAATCTAAAGCGCTACCTTTCAGAGCGGTACTGATGAAGAGCAACATATCGAAGAATACAGGCGGGTATTCGGCAACTAAAGTGAAATTATTCTGATACCCATTAAGATCTTTCAGGATAACCGCTGAAGCCCGAAAACAAGAAAAGGCTATGAGCGAATGGGTTGATCACCTTAAGGCTTGGGGTGTAGTGTTTAGGTTCTGCCTGCTCCCTTAACTGCTATGTACATGTTTAGTGTTGCTTGCATATTTCCATAAGAATGCCCACTGTTTGTTGGGCGATCTGTGTCCAGGGCTGCACGTCGTGAGTTCTTCTCCAGACTTTCTGCGTCGTGGGCTGAGGTGAATGTAGTGCTCTTTGATTGATAGCTTCACCGGTGCGCCCCATACATCATAAACGCTGAAGCCCAAAATCAACAAGCTACACCGGCAATAAGCATCGCCAATATATCTCACATTGCATAGTATGTTGTCATAGTATGCACACCAAAACACCTCTGACTAGTAAACCCCAGAACATAAGCTTCTTGACCTGCAGCCGCTAAACCCCCAAAACCCAAAATGTTTCAGGTTTCAGGAGCTGCGGCTTGGGCTTGGGGTACAGTACGGGGTTGAGGGAAGTCAGGCTCACTAGCCCTGCCTCTTCGTTGCTATCCAGGTACCAGTACCTGCCACAAAGGAAGTTCCAAGAACATGCTTCAAGGATGAAAAATGCTAGGATCCCTTGTGCTGCACGGTTGATGATATACATCTTGCATTACCTCTAATACGGAGCATACCATAATTCCCCTAGTTTAGGGTCCTCAAGGTAATGCAAGATTTATATCATCAACCGTAGGATCCCTTATGCTGTACCTTTGAGGGCATGGGGATAATGGTGTTCCCAACTTTCAGGCTTCTATTGTAAGTAGGCTTCAGCAGGGCTAACCCTTTGAAAATCATGAGTAATGAATCGTTCTTGTCGGGCTGAGTATTGGGTAGCTCACTCAACCTTGACAGCAGCTCCCTCCAGGCATTTTAAGTGCTTCTCCAGCAACGGATGCTGGATGTCTTTGCATCCGAGGAGTCTACAAGACCAAGAGAAGCTCAGGCACACTGCCGAGTGTGGTTTCCAACCATACCGCTCAACTATAAGTCTAGCCACAGGCGGCTGAGCTTTGCAAAGTTTTGGCGCAAGCTCCTTAACCCTGAAACACGGTCATCTACACCCTAAACCCTTAACCCTAAACCTTTAACTCTAAACCCTAAACCCTCTTCTGTGAAAGCTGTCAGGGTTGACTACCCAAGCACAGCGAGATGATGCGGGATATAGCACAAGCCCTAGCCAGTCTCCAAGAACTTAGTTCCCAGGCGGGCGCAGACATTAAAGCCATGCACAGCAATCAACAGACGGATTACATAATTAGGTAGTTTCGCTACTAGGTTGGTTAATCTATACATGAGCAAGTAGAACTGCCCAGAAACATACATGCATGCCTGAGTGCCTGCCTGCCCACCTACATACAGACCTGCATACATGCCTAGATTTGTACATAGACTGCGGCGCGAAGCACGAAGCGGATGAACTGCGGGGACCTAGCCGCACATCCTGTACCCTCCTACACCCCATTACTTAAATCTCAACGTACAGCTAAGCTGACCCAGTAGTATGAAGGAACGTGCAGCTGAGGAAGTCGAAATCTAACTTCATGTTACCTTGTGAGGCCCATAATCTTCCCTTAAACGTGGAAACCCTAAACCCTCACCTGGGAATCCCGACGGTGACCGATTACCCCGATAGAGGACGCAGACATTGGGGGCAAAGCCGGCGACCATGGCGGCTTTGAGGAGCGCGTCCTTGGGATGTTAAGGAATCTTGTATGTACGGCTTTCGGTTTATAGGGCTTAGGCTTTAGGGTTTAGAGTTTAGGATGTCAAGGAATCTTGTATATATATATATATATATAATACACATGGCTTTGGGGTATTGGGGCTTCAGGGGCCGGAGGGGTTTCGGCTCCAGGCATACACAAACTGAAACAGGTCTGGGACAGAGCTTTGCAACCCGAAACTGAAAAGAGTGGATTCGTGGGCTTGCTTCTGTGTCTGTATCTGCTTCTGGCTCGAGAGGTGGAGATACCCGACATTCGACCCCGACCGCCCGGAACCTGAAAAAAGAGATTCTGCAAAGAAGAGCCCGCAATATGGACCCCACATAGCCTTAAGAATGCCGCAGCTACTGCCGCTTTAACCATTGGCGTCGCTGAGCATGAAAACATATGACTGGCCCCCCCGGCCAAAACCCCCAACAGCCCACCACAAGCAAGGATCGTATTGTATCCTCAAATCTAGATCCCGAGTCCTACACTGTGAACCCTAGCTAAACGCTACACACTCTGATCTCACAAACCCTAAACATGTATCCTGAATCCTAAAACCCCTACACCCTCAATCCCAAGCCCTAGAGGTACTGCCCTCACAAGATCCTACTTGCCCTCAATGGTAAACCGTGTGGCATGTACTCTACCTTGCCGACAACCTCGGCCGTAAACCATAATCCCTAAACCCCGAACCCCTAAACCCTAAACCTCTAAACCCCTAAACACCTGAACCCCTGAACCCAAACCTAAACCCACACCCTCAGCTCTTCGACAGGAACCGCCTCAATGCATCCCCTATAGTATCCCTTTAAGGAACCCTTTAAAGGGAACCCTATTCCTATTGTTAAGTAATACCAGACAAATTCTGCTTCAATGCATTCCCAAGATCCACATCGGAGCCCTTTTTCACAGGATCGACTTCCCCGAGGTCGCCTTCCCCTGTGACGTCCTGCAAGGCTCTTTTGACTTAGACCTTTGTAGGGTTTAGGGGTTTAGGGCTTAGCCGGGTTAGGGGTATAGGGTTTAGGGGTTTTTTGGGGGTATAGGGTTTAGGTGTTTAGGGGTTAGGGTTTTGTAGGGCTGAGGGGCTTAGAGGTTAAGGGGCTTAGGGTTTATGGTTTGAGGGCTTTAGGATTTAATAGGGCTTCAGGGTTTAGGAACTTAGGTCTATGATCCACAAGCACAAGAAGGCAGATGTCGTAGGGTCCGCATTGCATAAGGAAGGCTTCGAACCTTAAGGCTCTTGCCTAGACCCTCCATCTACCCTCTATTAGACCCTAAATGCCCATTATTTGGGAACATATACCCCTATTTGAGGGTACAAGGAGGGTCCTGGTGGACTTGAACTTTGCATGGATGCATGCAAAGAGCCAGACTTAGAGGTCAAAAACTCTCTGAAATTCCCTGAGACCTGCAAGCGAAGCTCCAAGATCACAAGGCCAGGTCTTGGGTTTAGGGTTTAGGGCTCAGGGTTTAGGGTTCAGGGCTTTGGGTTCAGGGTTCAGGGTTCAGGGTTTTGGGTTTAGGGTTCAGGGCTCAGGGTTTAGGGTTCAGGGCTTTAGAGTTCAAGGTTTTGGGTTTTGGGTTCAGGGTTCAGGGCTTTGGGTTTAGGGTTCAGGGCTTAGGGTTTAGGGTTCAGGGCTTTGGGTTTAGTGTTTAGGGTTCAGGGTTTAGGGTTCAGGTTTTGGGTTTTGGGTTCAGGGTTTGGGGCGTAGGAGTTACGGTTGCACCAGAAACCAAGAAGAACACCAACCCCGACTGTTGACCTCTAATCCCGACATTGGGCGTCCATACCCTTTACGTCGGCACGCCACCATGCAAACCATAAGCACCTTCAACCCTGATCCCGCAGAGAAAGTGGTACGACTGCTACCAAGCCCTTACACAAGCCTACAAAGACCCCTATAAAACCCGACAAATACCCCCGAAATATCTTCATGAAGTTCGCACGACCCCCCGTTGGAATCCAATAACAACCCCACGTGATGATTTCAACCCCCGGCGCCTCGCCATCGTAGCCGGCGTCCACCATGAAGGAAACAAACTGCTGAACCATCCTGGCGGTATGCTATCGAAGTTTGATCCTACACCCTTAACTCGAATCAAACCCTAACGGGGGTATCTTAGCTTTTGGGGCCCAGCTCTTGCCTGAATGGTTGGGGGGTTTAGGCTGTGAGTTTGGGGGTTTCAGCTTCGGGGCGTGGGGGGAATGGGGCTTCAGGAATTCGGGTGAGCACCTGCGGGGTTAATTAGGGCGTCAGGTTCAGGACTGCACTGTTGAGGGTTCAAGCTGAGCTCAAGGCCATGCATCACGTTTTGGTCATATGGCGATGTCGCATACCAGGCAAAAACACATTCGTATCTGCAATCCCTTTAGCCTGCACACTGCACTTACAAGGTCCTGACCGCCGGCATCGCTACAACTGTATGAAACGACAGTCAGGTTTCCGGGTAGGAAGAAGCTGATATCTGAGCTGGTTTGGAGGTGAAGGCTCTTTCCGGGATGAGGATATGCTTCAGCCCCACCCTGGCACTCCGTAAAGCACAAACCCCTTCCTTGCCGTTGTACGCGAAGTGTCACTGTGATATCGAAAACCGCAGGGGGCGAGGGTCTCAAGGTGGCAAGCTTTCCGGTTGTATTCTACAGCTACCCCTGAAGGACACATAGCGTCAATCCCTTTCCTTTTCAGATTGCAACAAGGATGCTATCAGTCTAGCCCACCGTAGCGCTTGAAGAAGGGCTTTATCAATCAATCGAGGTCTTTTCCAACATGTTCCCTGCTTGTAGGCGGGCTTGGCGTTTGTCTTGAGTGCTACGATTATGTTATCTCCACCTTTATCTATTAGTCTATCTATATTATCTTGTTTCTGATTGAAATTGGATAGAATTTTGTTTGTAATGATCCAACGCGTATGCCATTTCGCGAAGTTTTCACCCTCAAGCCCAATCCCGCAAAGAACACCGCCAGGGAGTGGCATTTTCAGGGCTCACTGGGATGAGTACTTGGGCTTTATTAAAAAAGGTTTCAAGTGTAAATCGGTTTTTGACTAAACAGGTGGGGACTTACAGCGTTTGGGACTTGTCGGGTGTAGGATTTCAGGCTGTATACCTGTAGGCTGCAATCCCAAAACCCTAAACCCTGAAATTTAAGCCCTTAACCCTAAGCTCAAGCCCTAAGCCCTGAACCCTAATCCCCAAACCCTGGCTCTCTGAAGATGCCAGCTGTGCATGAAGGCCATGTCCAGCGTCTCGGGGCTCAACCCCTGCGGAGCGCGAAGGCATGTCGCAGTAGTAGTAGTAGTAGTAGTAGTAGTAGTAGTAGTAGAAGTAGTAGTATAGTAGTATAGTAGTATAGTAGTAGTAGTAGTAGTAGTAGTAGTAGTAGTAGTAGTAGTAGTAGTAGTAGTAGTAGTAGTAGTAGTAGTAGTAGTAGTAGTTTTCTTCACCATCTGCAGCAAAAGCCCATGGGATCCCTTCAGCACACTCAGTGGCAGGGTCGTACTGGGGGAATCGTTGAGGAGTCGGATGTGGGAGTCAGTCCTCTTCTCCTTCCCCTTCCGACGGGACCTCTGTCTCTCCAAGCCTGCCTAAGATTCTGGGAATCGCAAACTTTTAGTCGAGCGCTGGTATGGGCCCCAGAACTCCTAGCTGTTGTGATTTGCAGATGGCAAGACGGGGTCAAGAATACCCAGCCGTGCGCCTGGACCGGCCGTGCCATGGTGTCCGTGTGGACATCCAGCGAGCACACTGCCCAACGATCCTACCAAGTCCTGGCAGGAGTTGCCCACTTTGGGGACTCCCTAGCGTCCGGGCACTACCGAGCCTTCTGGCCAGAGGTCCCCGCGGATGCGAGATCTCAGGTGTGGATTTGCGACGACTACAAGCTTCCGGAGAGGGCCTCAGCGGCCTTGGTTCAATCACTTTCCCGAAACGTCTACATGCTTTTCTTGCAACGAACTCGTTAGCATCATCGCTTCAGGCGATGCATGCCGGCCCAACCTCGGCCTTCAGGGCTAAGCAGGGCGCCCGTGCGTGAGAAGCCTGTAGTCAATTTCATGTTGACGCAGGCCGCCTCACGTCAAGGCCAAGTGTGTCATGAGTGCACGCGGACATGCACACTCTGTAATTTCCCTCCTCCCAATCAGCTCTTTTTATTTAGTCAGCTTCCCCCCAGCTCCCTTTGGCCGTCATGACTGCCTCGCCTGCTACTGCCAAGAGCCCGGAGCACAAGCATCTGTCGCAGCCGGGTTGAAATGATAACAGAAGGCAAAAGTTGCCATCGTTGTCAACCCTTCCGCCTCAAGCTTCGCGATGCTCTCATCCGACACCCCAATGTCTTTGGCTCGCGCCTTGAAGACTGCCGCGCTCTCATTAAAGGACATGGCTCCTAGTGCTAGATTCACTCAAGATCAGACTAGGGCCCAGCACGCCTTGCAATCACTTTTAGCGTCGGCGAGAATGCCGCTCCCTAGCGCGCCACTTTTTAGTCCAGCTTAGTGCTGAATTGCTCTTGCCCCAATATGGGCGCTTAGGCTCAGCACCCATTTTAGTACGGGAGCAATTAGAAAATGTCACAGACTCCTCAAATCCCGTATGGCACAGCCTCTGGGAATTCGGTGCTCTTCCGACGCTTTTGCAAATCTCTTCGGGAGCTGAAGAGCAGCGCGCTAGCCACGGCAAAATGCAGGACACTGCACTTCGCCTGAGCCGATATGGTCAGTCAGCTGTCGGCTGTTTGACTCACTCAGCTCTGCAGGAAACCTACCCAGAATAACGGATGCAGTCCGAGGAAAGCCAAGAGCATGAGCGTCGCTTATTGGGGGGTAGTCACGACAAGCACTCCGAGTCGTATGTAGGTTTACGCACATGTGATCCTTACGGCCTTCTGTCTCCAGCATGAGTAATCCGTGTGGGACGTCACAAGACGGATACTCTAGGCGCCGGCTTCGCCCGAAGTACGACCTAATTGCTGGGACAGGTGCACAGACGGACGCGTCTGTTCACAACAAGGTGGCGGAGGAGGAAGCCATAGATGTACAGTCTTACTCAACTGAGCAGTCTGAGAGGAATATGAGCGATGAATGCTAGCAGATAACCAGTTTCACGAGTGCACGGGACCAAAGGCGCCCGCAAAGCGCAGAGCACGCTCGCGCAGCGTTCAATTGAAAAGTAGTATAGTAGTAGTAGTAGTAGTAGTAGTAGTAGTAGTAGTAGTAGTAGTAGTAGTAGTAGTAGTAGTAGTAGTAGTAGTAGTAGTAGTAGTAGTAGTAGTAGTAGTAGTAGTAGTAGTAGTAGTAGTAGTAGGTAGTAGTAGTAGTAGTCGTAGTAGTAGTTGTAGTTGTAGTAGCAGTAGTCGTCATCGTCGTGGTGGTGGTGTAGTAGTAGTAGTAGTAGTAGTAGTGGTGGCGGTGGTAGTAGTAGTAGTAGTAGTCGTAGTAGTAGTAGTAGTAGTAGTAGTAGTAGTAGTAGTAGTAGTAGTAGTAGTAGTAATAGTAGTAATGGTAGTAATAGTTGTAACGTAGTAGTAGTAGTAGTAGTAGTAGTAGTAGTAGTAGTAGTAGTAGTAGCAGTAGTCGTCGTCGTCGTGGTGGCGGTGGTAGTAGTAGTAGTAGTAGTAGTAGTAGTTGTTGTAGTTGTAGGAATAGTAGTAGGAGTAGTAGTAGTAGTAGTAGTAGTAGTAGCAGGAGTAGTAGTGGTAGTAGCAGCAAGGCGTCTCGAGTTGAGGGACAGTCATGCAGCCTTCACAAGAAAATGAGAGCCGCGAGTATGCATGATGCAAGATCGTTCAGTCAGTCTGGCATCACAAAAAGAGTTGCAACAAGTCGAAGGACCCTAAACTTTAAACCCTATAAACCCCAAGCCCCTAAACCGCTGAACTCCTAAACCCTAAACTCCAAACCCCTAGGCCCCTAAAACCTAAATTCTAAACCCCAAACCCTAAAACCCTGAACCCCAAACCCCAAAACCCAGTTTGTGTGAATCGGGTTCAGGGTTTTGGGTTCAGGGTTCAAGGTGTAGCAGGTCTGGCTTCCCTATCATCCCAACACCCAAGGAAACGACAGCTTGAACTCTTGGAATAACACTAGCTTCGAAAACATCCTGAAATTCTAGCATCTACCTGAATGTGCATCTTAAATGTTGTAAAGCCGGGTCCAAGCCCTCAACAGAACGATCGATGCTAACATTCTAAGATCCCATTAGAGGCGGTTCTGCCCTAACAAGCCTTCATATGTAATATCTAGTTACGTAAAATCGGGGCCTCAAACAAACTGGAATAGAATTATGGGGTGTCGTGCAAGATATTTAGAAGAAGAAACCTTACGGTATAGTGTTCGGATTTATTGGCACCCCAAATGACTATTGCTCTGAGGCTTTCCCCACCTCTACCCCGAATGCCTCCCACAACAAAAAAAAGACACCACCCTTTCATCGGGTTTAGGGTAACTCTAGACCAAAAACACAAGAATGAAGCCCTCACTCCCGAGAAACCTAAAGCCCAAAACCTAAACCCCAAACCCTGAACCCTAAACCCTAAACCCTAAACCCTACCCTATAGACCCTAAACTTAAAACCGACAAACCCCGAACAACTCTCCCAAACCCTCAACATGATGTCCTGTGTCTCAGCCCGTTAGTCTCAACTCACACAGACCCTAAGGTTTAGGGTTTAGGGCGTTTAGGTTTCGGGTAGCGAGGATTTTGGGGTCAAAGAGTCCCAAAGCCTCCACCCCGAAGTTGAGACCCATACGTACGGTTTAGAGTTTAGAGTTTAGAGTTTAGGGTTTAGGGTTTAGGGTTTAGGAACTCAAGTTAAAGTTCAACCTTTTGGATCATATATGGACTAGAGTATGTGAGCAGAGTAACCCCAAGCAGCTGAAGGCTACTTTCCCCTACTATTTAGCATACCCTCCCAAACGCAAGCTCGAAGTTCATCTCCTGCGGCCTGCTCATCGCAGAAGTCATCGCCCTTCCCACGCAGGGTCTCTCTTCTCCACTCAACATAGGCCTGAAAAGCAGGACATCTGAGGGCCCTAAACCCTAAACCCTGAACCCTAAACCCCAAATCCTGAACCCTAAACCCTGAACACGACATCTGAGAGTTCGAAGGATGGTCGAGGGCCCGGGCCTTTTTGCTTCCAGTAAAAGGTGCAGGTTTGAGGTTTAAGGTTTAGGGTATAGGGTTTAGGGTTGGGTCTTAGTTGCTGAGTTCATAAGCGCGCAAAAGTGTACGCTTTTAGGTTTATTGTGGGTAGTATTATTTTTAAAGGAGTAAAGTGTATCCACTCATCTACTAAGATTGTAGATGAGGGCTTCCGAAAATCTGGGTTGCAAACTTGATGAGGGCTTAGGTTTCAAACTTCAAAGCACGCATGAGTATTCCCTGGCGTGCTCTGTGGTCTCCCGGACATCCAGCATTCGAAGAAATGCCTACATTATATGTTAGGGCTGCTAAGGGTTTTGCGTATGGCCTTCAACCGCATGCGGAATACTGACTGCGGCACCCTTCAGCACCATGAAACATCACAACCAAAATGCTAAACCCTAAACCCTCCATCCTAAAACCTCCCATGTTCTAAACTATAAACCCTAAACCGCTAAACCCTAAACCCCTACATAAACCCTAAATCTTCCACACGCAAAACAGCCCCATTGCACACTCTCCCGCAAGAACAAGACTTACCTACAGTCTTCATCGTAGTTCGATGTTGCTGGGCAACCAACGGTATAGATATTTGAGATCCTGACCACAAAAACAGCGTAACCAAAAAACGAACCAGAATGGAGACTAGAGGAATACGCGGGATTCTAAAATATTCGGGCCAGTCGAAGAAGGGGTCTCTCCAGTAGGGCTGGGGCTCCGGTCTCAGACGGTTGGAAGCTGTTTTTTTGGCTTCAAGGTTTAGGGCTTAGGTGGTTTTAGGGTGTTTGCAGCCTGCCAGCAGAAGGCCGTAGCTGGGGCTTGAGGGTTTAGGGTTCGGGATTGATGGTTTAAGGCTTACGTAGGGTTTGGGGTTTGAGACTGAGGGTTTCGGATTTACAGCTTAGGTTGGGATTTAAGGTTGCGCTTAGTTAGAATCCTACAATTCTAGAGCTTGCGCACGAAAACCTTGAAATGTGTCTTGCAGAGTAAGGAAACCACGCCCCCTAGCAACCTGAGCACTTTCACCTGGGCGCAGTAAACCACTTCGAAGCTGCAGGATGGAGCCTCGATGCCGACATGATAACTTAGCCAACTGTATAATCCAGCAAGTCTCCAAGTCTCCAAGGACTGATAGCTAATAGTTAGTTAAAGGCTGATCGGAATGAAGCCCTTCTAGAAAATGCTTCTGAGCCATCAACCTTGGGGCTATTATGCAAAGCCTTTGAGCAAACAACCCTGCGCACTGCCACAACGCACGTGAGCGGCTTTTTTGCTATAGCAGGGTCCGAATCAGCGTGTACCAGTACTCCAGCATCTGGAACTGGCCTTGCTCCAACAGACGGTGTATCGGGCAGCTACTTTGCACAAAGAGGCATACTAGCTACGGATACGGTTGACTTGTGCCGAGAACCACTCTTGGTGGACATGACATGCTGGCGAGAATGCGTCAAGAACCACAGCAAAAGCCACCTCAACTTCAAGGCAAGGGTCGCAAAACTGAACACTTAGGCCCTGACAGCAAACTTCCTGGCACGCGCACGACAACACCAGAGCTTTAACCGTTAACCTCGCTGAAGCCCATTTTTCGCAAGAGTAACGGAGAAAATTGAAAGTACTGGACACAACCAGACTTGTCACCAGTCAGCTCAAGCTGCACTTTGAAGCCAGCGCCGACGATGATGCCATGATTATCAGCCGGAACAATCGCAGCCCCAAGGTGGCACAACTGCACGAATGCACTAGACAAGGTTCCTGAGTAGCCCCATAAAAATACCGGTGCCCTTTTCCTTTATTTCCTGGTGCAATAAGGAGGCCCCAAAATACAAAGGGCAAAAGGGCACTACTCAGGAACCTTACGTGTGTGTATATGTATAAATATATATATATATATATATATACATATATATATATATATATATATATATATATATATATATATATATATATATATATATATATATATGTATGATCTATGTGTGTAAAGATATCCACACACCGATTGCGCGCGAGGGGTAGTTCCGGAATTTGCTTCCTGAAGCTCCGAAGCTAGTAGACCTCCGAATCCGGAATGTGATCGCCCAGGTGCTTTTCTGGTTTACCCGGTGCCAGAGAGCAGGTCTCCTCACTTTCTGGATTTCAGGGTTCTGGAAACTGGTGCCCACATATAAGTTGTGAATAGCAGCGCTGCTTGCTGGGTTAAGGAAGTTTTGGGCAGTTGGATCCCGGAAGAAAGAGAACATCACTCTGTCAACTGGCCCTCCTTAAAACCGACCTTAAATTGTATATATATGTACATATATATATATACATACATATATATACACAGACATATATAACAGCTCTTCAATCGATGGGTCCGACGAGCCCATGAAGCAACCCTAAGGGATCCTTTCAGGTCAGCCCTCACCCCGCCCCCCCCAACCCGAACTCCGGGCTTCTGAGATGCCTTGGAACACGATAAGTTAGAAGGGGCCCCCACCCGGTTTAGGGTTTAGGGTTTAGGTAATAATGACTATAGTTTAAGGTTTTGGGGTTTGGAGTGAAAGACTTCCGCCAGTCTTCCTGAAGCGCCCCAACACCCTAAGCTCTGTAAGGCCTTAAAAGAGACCATAACCCCAACAAACTGAATACTACCAAAAAGAAACAACAACACGCACTACAGTACATGTCTTTAGGAAAAAGCAAGAACAGTTATACACAATAAATACTTGTAACAACAATAATAAGACTATTGAGAAGAATAGTAACGATAACAATGAGACTGGCAATGATAGTGATAGTAAGAATAAGATAGAGCCGGGTCGCCTGGCTCGGTGAAGCTCCTTTGGCAGCCAGCTTGAGTTGGTCCCGTTCTCCTCCAAAGTTTCAGCTCCTGGAAGGTAGTCGCCACCCCAAAAACCTGGGCTTCAGGTCTTCCGGTTTTTGGGTTTACGGGTTTAGGTTCAGGTCTTTCGGAGTTCGATGGGTCCCGGGCTTAGGGTTTGAGGGGTTCTAGGGATTGTTAGGGTCAGGGGTGTTAGGGGCTTTCGACGGTTTGAATGATTTGTGGGGTTAGGGTTATGTAAGTGTGGGGTTTAGGGGGCAAGTGCGAGTGAGGCTTTAGAGTTTGACTGCATGGAGTCTGAGTTTAGTAGCCAGGGCTTATGGATTCAAAAGACACTTGTGCATTCTGTGAATCGGCTTCGTCGTAGCGCTGAATGAGGTCAGGGGATGTTTTTCATCAGTGTTTTAGGACGCAGTGTAGGAGCACAAGAGAATGGATTTCAGGATTGACTACGTAGTTTCGGCATTAAGGGCTAAGAAAAGATTGCCAGGCGCATGCACGGAACCCCCGTCGTCAAAGTTGTAGAGCTTTATGTCTTGTTCGGCCATGCAAAGTCCCAGAAGTACGTCAGACACCGGTAGATACGGTCTGAAGAGCTCGTCGACATAAACCCCCCCAGTGCCCTCAATGGGCTCGCGTTGAGCCTCCCATTCGTCCATGTAGTCGCTTACCAGTCTGCTAGACAAGAACGGAGCGAGCCTCGCCATCGCCGCGTTGCTACAAAATATGGCTGCACCGTAAGGGATGTCAAGTGCGGCATAGGGTCGAAGAAGGTCGAAAGCCATTTTCACACAGTTGGCCCCCCACTCATCGATGCCAAACTGCTGTAGGCATTGTACAGACATCCACTTGAAGGTTTCTTTGCTGTGATGATAGGGCACCTTCTCCACAAATCCAGCACAAACAGCCTCCTCCCCGGGTCTAGATGTGGCCTCATGCAGGGCCTCAAGCAGCCACGGCTCAAACATGTAAACGTCGTCGCCGGCTAGGCAATACCAAGGCAGATCTGGGAGCACTGCATAGAGCCGGGCGAGGCCCAGATGTCCCTTGTAGACATGGCTATGGTAGCTGTCCTTACTTGGCGGTTATATTTATAACCCACATTAGGGGACTAGAACCTCGAAGTAGTTCCGCCAGAAATCAGGCTTCAGAACCCAAGTTATCCCATCTAGACGCACAGCGAAGCCCTAATCACAGAGCCCTGTACCCTAAGCCCAAACTTCGGAAGTATAGTTAGGGCTGCAACTCCAAAACCCTAACCCCTAAACCCAAGACCCACAACCCTAACCCCTAAACCCTAAACCCCAAACCCTAAACCCAAAACCCTAAACCGTATAAATCCAAAACCCTAATCCCTAAACCCTAAACCCTAAACCCTAACCCCCAAACCCTAAACCCAAAACCCTAAACCCCAAACCCTAAACCCTAAACCCAAAAACCCTAAACCGTATAAACCCTAATTAATCCCTAAACCCTAAACCCTCCAAAAAAAAAGGGAGATTCCAAACGACCCAGAGCCGAGCATCTTCCGAAAATCGCTTTAAGAAGTCTTGGGGTGCCCTTAGAGGCCAGAGGCGTAGCCGGCCCCCCTCGACATCCTGTTGGCTGGTGGACTGACTGCTGGCAAAGAACCTCAGGGTTTAGGGTTTTCAGCATTTGGGGCTATTAGGGTTTAGGGTTGAATTGGGGCTATTAGGATTTAAGACTTAGCTTTTGGGGGTCTGTTAGGCTCTCGGGTTTCGGTTTCAGGCTTGTAAGGTTTTATGAGAAGGAAGCTTTAAAAAGTTGTAAGCCCCGGAGTAAAGAACCCACCTTTCCTTTCTGCTTGTCTAAGGGCCTGCATGCTAGGATCCATATTTTTAGCTCTTGGCGACAGTATGTTCATGATAAACAGGTTCAGTTGGTTTAGGAAGTTTAGGAGTTAGGTTAATTAGTAGTAGTAGTAGTAGTAGTAGTAGTAGTAGTAGTAGTAGTAGTAGTAGTAGTAGTAGTAGTGGTGGTAGTAGTTAATTAGGGCAAAGGGTTTCGGATTCGGGGCTTG